ATATATATATATATATATATATATATATATATATATATATATATATATATATATATATATATATATATACACACACACACACACACACACACACACACCTGTTTGGTTCTTGAATCTAATTGTCTGATGGCCATGCAATATTCTGCCAGTAGCAGCACTTGTCCAGCCTCTTAAACCTTCACGCTTGTGTATTACTCCGCCCACATACAGCAACAAGCAGAGCACACTTTACAGTTTGACAACATAATGTACTGTTGAGGCTTTTTTTAGTCCAGAATGTAGTTGTTTAGATTGCAACTATGCAGTTTATTTATAAGGAGAGTGCCTATTTTTAATAATTAGCATTTCTGAGACAGCCATTAGCCTGTTTTTATGTAAAGATGGTTAAAAAAAAATGGAACCACTTGAATATTCTCATTTTCTTTGTACTTGTAAATTTTATAATATAACATAATATAATATAATATAATATAATATAATATAATATAATATAATATAATATAATATAATATAATATAATATAATATAATATGGTGTAAAGTTACAAAGTACAAATACTCAAATGACTTCACAGAAAAGCTTAAATACTTTCATACATGAAATCTGAAAGACGATCTCTGTTTTTGGTGTAAATTTAAGATTAATCTACAAGTAAAAAAACACCTTTAATAAACTAAGAAACCCACCATATTCCCAATAACCCACCACAACTGCTTCCGTCATGATTATATTTTACAGGAAAGCCTCAATGCTTTCATACATGTATTTGTATTTAATACATGTAAATGTATTTATCCGCAGGTCACATGTGTTCCGAACCAGGAGTTGTGATCCATTACACCCCTACAATGTACAAAATGTCTGTTAATTACAGAAACAGTTTCTGTATTTTGTGACTCAAAGGTGTTTTCCATTGATAAGAAATGCATTACAGGATTACTTATGATGCTGATCACTGATCTGTCGACTTCTGATGTAGAAAATTCAACTCTACACTTTACCAAAGTGACTTTTGCTGACATTTGAGTAGTTTGAACTAACAAAATGTATAAGAAATAAAGAAATAAGTCTGTAAAATAACAGGAGATGTACTAACAGCTTATTATAAGACGTTTGTAGCATAATATACAACAGCAACACAGATAATATATGACTTTAAACTTATATAAATGTTAATAAAAGTCACTTTTTAGAACTTTTGAAGGTTGAAAGTTCCTGGAAGAAACATTAATCTCTCATAATACAAATCATAGGCTTAAATAAACAAAAACATGAATCACAAAATACAGAAAACAGCTAATTTATGGATATTTTGTACAATGTGTAAGCATTATTTTGTTCATTTAGTCAACTAACAGACACTGTTAATTTAACCATGAACATTTCATCAATCCCAAACCATGACCGACAGCATTTCACGAACTTTGCACGAACATCCGACCCACTGTTCAGATGCAAAAACTCAAACTACCAAAAGGACCCACACACATTCCCGGTGAGAACACTTTTTAATACAAGATTCAAACATACAGTGTTTGGTGGCAGAAATTAACCAACGCTGCTCAACATGAAAGAGAATGAGTAAAGTGTTTGTTTTACGTTGGCGTTTTCTAGGTTGCACTTCAGTCGTATCATCGAAACTCAAAAAAAAACAAAAAAAGGTGTCGAGTTCAACACAAATCACAGTCACCTGTAACACCTGGACCCAAGGTCAACCTCAGCACCTTCAGTAAATGCATTGCTTTAATATTCAACCTCAGTCTTACTCTCGTCGTACACTCTGTAACATTGTTAGAATTTTAAAACAAACATAAAATAAATGTACACAGAAAAAAATATATATATATACTGACCATTTTCCCCCTCTTGTATCATATTATTTATTGGCTGATATTCCAGTTTTAAGGATGAAAATAATGTTGTCTGCAGGCTGAAATAGTGTAAGGCTGACTTGATTTGACAAAAAAAAAAAAAAAAAAAACTATCTAGACATCATGTAGAGAAATAAAAACAATTAACAAAAATACTGTGAGATGCATTAAATTCATCCTCAGCTCAGGGTTAGTCAAATTAAATCGATTGAACGTGTAATACTATTCACCTATACAACATTA